GCTACCAGGGATGTTAACCGACATAGCTGTCCAAACAACTGCAGAAACCTACCCAGAGAGCCGGAGCAAGGGGTGCTAGGTACTTGAGGAAGGAGTTGGTGTGGGACAACGTGGTGACAGGGCCCATGGCGATGAACAGCGCTATCTACGTAGACAAACAGGAGGATTGTAGACCTTGACATTTAGAAGATCTAAGGCTCTACCTTCTCCTTGTAGCGCTGACTCTCGTTGGCCAGCAGGGCGAAGGCCACCGTAGACCCCATGGAGAAGCCGATGTAGACCAGTGAGGAGCTCTGGCTGGTCTTTAGGACATGGTCAATGGTGGCGGGGAGGTCGTACTTGGCGATCTCATCCAGACTGGACATAGAGATAGTCCAAAAGTGAAATTGTACAGGGACCAGGTTGATAAATTAAGAAAAACATCTAATCCAATGGCAAGAAAAACGAAGGTAAGCCTACAATTGATTGAGTAAAGCAAATAACAAAGTTTAGTGCGTGAGTATCCGAACGTTTTAGCTTTGATGGTACAAATTTGTACCTGAGGGATAAATGAAGGTCATGACAGAAAAGAAAGTCCCACTATCAGAGATAAACCTTACTGAACCAAACTGAAGCGACAGGACTCTAAATCCAAAGTTCTATTATCAGGAAGATCTGACAAGGACTGACCTGGAGTTCTGACCAAGGAGATCTGACAGGCACTGACCTGTATTTCCATTACCAAGGAGATTTGACAAGGTACTGACCTGTATTTATATTACCAAAGAGATCTGACAGGGACTGACCTGAAGTTCTGACCAAGGAGATCTGACAGGGACTGACCTGAAGTTCTGACCAAGGAGATCTGACAAGGACTGACCTGTATTTCTATTACCAAAGAGATTTGACAGGGACTGACCTGTATTTCTATTACCAAGGAGATCTGACAAGGTACTGACCTGTATTTATATTACCAAAGAGATCTGACAGGGACTGACCTGAAGTTCCAGAACTTGCAGTCCTTTGGGTCCAGCTTGGTGTGTTTGCGGCTGTAGCTGTTGCCCCTGAAGTTGCCCATCCAGACATCGTACCCCAGGTTGGAGAGTAGGAATGCTGCACACCATCATATTTTCGTACAGTAACTTCCATGTTATAAAATTAAGGTTTCATAAACCTATACTATATATACTATATATACTTTTGTTATATAGAATCATTCAAAACATCTATAAATATACATATCTATATTTGCATATCTATTTTTACATATCTATATTTAAACTATTTTGACTGACCTTACTGAAAAAATGTCTATTACAATTGATACCTTTTTTTCCAATTGGTCAAGTTAGAAGGCCGTATTAAAATGCATGAGGGAAATAAAGAATTGAATCTCAGGTCTGCAAAATTGTTGGCAGAGATCGCGTTTGAAAGAATGATGGAGGGCCGCGATGAGAAGACAGGATTACATAGGTTTTAATCCATTGTACACCCATAGTGTACCATTAAAAAATGAAGACAACACTCAGTTGGTAGGAGACAAGTTACTTATATAAGTGTATATTTCACATCTCTTCTCAGCGGTGTGAAGGAGGTGGTACCGACCTAGGGCCTGGTGGATTTAAGCCCGAGCTACTAGTTCGATAGTTCGTCATGTCAAAGCAGTGTAAAGGATGTGGTACCAACCTAGGGCCTGGTGGATTTAAGCCCGAGCTACTAGTTCGATAGTTCGTCTTGTCAAAGCAGTGTGAAGGATGTGGTACCAACCTAGGGCCTGGTGGATTTAAGCCCGAGCTACTAGTTCGATAGTTCGTCTTGTCAAAGCAGTGTGAAGGATGTGGTACCAACCTAGGGCCTGGTGGATTTAAGCCCGAGCTACTAGTTCGATAGTTCGTCTTGTCAAAGCAGTGTGAAGGATGTGGTACCGACCTAGGGCCTGGTGGATTTAAGCCCGAGCCACTAGTTCAATAGTTCGTCTTGTCAAAGCAGTGTGAAGGATGTGGTACCGACCTAGGGCCTGGTGGATTTAAGCCCGAGCTACTAGTTCGATAGTTCGTCTTGTCAAAGCAGTGTGAAGGATGTGGTACCGACCTAGGGCCTGGTGGATTCAAGCCCGAGCTACTAGTTCAATAGTTCGTCTTGTCAAAGCAGTGTGAAGGATGTGGTACCGACCTAGGGCCTGGTGGATTTAAGCCCGAGCTACTAGTTCGATAGTTCGTCTTGTCAAAGCAGTGTGAAGGATGTGGTACCGACCTAGGGCCTGGTGGATTCAAGCCCGAGCTACTAGTTCGATAGTTCGTCATGTCAAAGCAGTGTGAAGGATGTGGTACCGACCTAGGGCCTGGTCGGGGGGATTAGTGACCCAGTCAGTTGAGCAAGACAGGAAGCCGTGCAACAGCAGCACGGGCCGCTCGTGTATACGTGTGGCACAGGGGATCCGATGGATGGTGAGGATATAGCCGTCCGCGGTGGTGACGTGGTGCTCCTGGATGGGGTACCCACGGTCGGAGCACAGCTACGCACACATGCCGATTGGAAACTGACACCGAACTTTGGGAGAAATACCTGGATGGTGGACAAATGGCTGTAAATGCTCTTCGAGAACAAGCTTTTTCAAGTATTAGCTCAAAATCAGTCCAATTATTTCGCAAATACCTACAATATATATACAGTAGAACCTCCCTGTAAAGGACACCTAATTGCAGAGCCAAAGTGTCCTTTAGAGAGAGGTGTCTTCTTACCAGAGAGTTGCTAAATTGTAAAAATGATAATTTACAAATGAAAAGTCTCCTTTGTGGAGAGGTGTCCGCTAAAGTACAATTCTACTGCACAATATATAAGTGAAAAAAACAGCACAAATTGGAATTTTACTGGAATAAGGTGGATAAATTAAGAGAAAGGTATCTCCTTATCGTGCAACCAGTCATCAGCAACTTTCAGTAAGGAGATGCCTTTTTCTTCTTCTTCTTTCTTATCTCCACTCAATCATATTAGGGTATCAAGCTTGTAGAGCTTGTTGATGATGTCTGTTTGACAACCATCATGACTGGGTGAAGTAGAATGCCTTTGTCATTAAGACTGGGAGCACTATTCAGTGGCAGGCTTACTTAGCTCCAAAAGAAATAGCCGCCTCTGACATGAGGAACAGACGCCATGTGCAGCCGCTCCTAACATGGAGTTCAAATGCTGCTCATCCTGTATCCCTGGATTAGGAGCCCTTACAGGGTACTATCAGCCGGGCCAGCTGAGCCCAGGTTTTTTTAGCGAGCTTGTTACTGCTCCCCCTCCTCCTTTTTTTTCATCCGGGCTTGGGACCGGCAAAGGTGGAGCCTTTTTATTAATATATAGAAGTGCGAACAAATAGAAAAAAGGTCAGGTGATGATATCAAAAACGAAAAAGTGGCATATTCTGATGGTTCACACGAGCATTTTAGATGGCAGAGCGCCATCTAGTGGAACAAAATAGACTAAACGTTTATTTTACTTATACATAATACATTTACATTCGAATTTGCATAATTCGAAGCCCAAGGGACCAAAAATAAAATTCGAATTATCCGAAAATTCGAATTAAAAATGTTTTGAATAAAAGGCTTAAAAATCTAGGGACCAAGATAAATATTCGAATTAAAGACAATAAAAAGTCGGTGGACGAGTGGGTAACACCCTCGATTCCCAACAGTCATGAACTGGGATCCCGCGTTAACATTTTGTTTAATATATGAATAACCATCACATTATTTGACTGTGCTGCTCTGTCTGAGGAAAGACGAAAACTAAATGATAAAACTGGGCAACTTTGTCCTTCATTTCCGGCACTAATTAATGAAATATCAAAGAATAGGTATATAGCGATGGCGATATTTGGATTCCACAAGACTATATCCCGGAAAAAGGCCACACAGTGTTCTCCCCATCCCTTGTGAACTGGCGAATCCTGTATAGGGCGAGAGGCCCTAAATAAAGGCTTTGTTGTTGTTGTTGTTGTATAACCATCACATATTAATCATTGTTGTAAATATTATAAACTAGGTTGTTCTTGTTGAGCGGTACCTAAAAAGTGATTTTGGAGTGGAATTAAAGAGGTTCGAATTATCCAAAGTTCTACTATATTAATTATTCTCGAATTGATTAAAAAACAAGTATTTGAATATTTAGGTGAAATTTTGATGTAAAAATTGGATAAAGAGAAGACCAGGAGTTAAGGAATGGATGTGTACAGTAACAGCATCCTTGCACCCAATCAACGTTCACAAGTGATATCGTTTGACAAATATGTATTGAGGCAGACGACTGCAAACTTTCTAATCTGACGCGTGCAGATGTCGGCTGACAACTTTCCACCTCTATAACCATCAAATGTTTATAAAGTTCGTTTGGTTTTATATATTCCAAATATTCATTTATCTTTTGTATCGCCGCGTTAGTTTTTGGAATATATTTTAAAATATTTAGTATTTTGGGGTTATAGTAGAAAGCAATTAAATGTACTTTTACTGTCCTAAAAACTTATGTCCATAGTTTGCTTAAATACCATTTCTAATATTCCACCCTTCGGTGTAGCATATATAAGCAGAATGATCCAATACAGTATTAGAACTCTAAAGAAACGCTCTGGTAGATTAAATTGGTGAAATCGCATGGGAGGGTTCACCACTGACTGGTGTAAGAAGAATATTTATTGCCACACATCGCTTTCTCACTCAAAACATAGCAATTTAACTATCGCTTATGTTTGCTATTTATTGTACGTGGAACTTTATCAGACCGATTTGGATGATTTTGTCCCCCTAGCCCTAGACATGGATGCAATTATTTCAAAGTTAAATTCATATATATTACAATATAATATAATGCGGCTTTTGATTGTAAAACGACATTTGAAAATTATTCCGAATGTGTTTCTTTTGAACGAAAAATCAAAATTTATTTTAAGGAGAAATAAATATTATTTATAATCTTAGGAATGAAGTATGAAAGGATGAATTGTGAAGGGTAATGATAAACGGAAAAATAAAAGTGTCCAGGGATGGGAATCGAACCCACAGTGTTCCGCTTAAAGGACAGATGCCATGTCCACTAGGCTACCCTGGACATATTTGTTGAGCTGGCGACCTGATGTACAGGGAGAAAACATCCGAGAAGTCTTTTTAACGTTTATTCACAAACTAAAGGTTTGGAGGAAAAATAACTTTCTAACTAAAAATATTGTCTTAAATAATCTAAAAAAAAAAAGACAAAAGTATGTAAATTCAACGATACACAACGATACAAAAGAATGCGAAATAATTAAACAAAAAAAATTATGTAAAAATAATTTTACATGAAAGTTATTAAAAATAAATAAGTTGTAAAAAAAGTTACAATTAAATCCATAAGATTAGACAGTAAGTTAAAATGTGACATGTACTCCAGCAACGCACCAACAAATAATCCACGGAAAAAACTTAAGGAAGTTGTACCTTTTAACATGTATATTGGCATTCAGACAATAACTGTAAGATATTTGATACACAGTGACCTTTTTATTGAAGACATACGAGATAACCAAAATGTGAACAAAATTACCTCTGTTTCCTAAAAAAAAAAAAAAAAAAAAAATAGACGGCCGGCGACATTGAAAAGGTTACACAAATTTTATCAATAAGTGTATATCAACAAACTTTTTCAACGGTGAAAAAGTTCAAAATTAGCTTTTTCTGTCACTAGATAAGAAAATTTAGGGCAAAAATAACAAACATATCATTTATATATAAAAAAAGAAAAAAAAAAGAATTATATAAATTAATAAGTACAGTATATATGGAATATTAAATATCACCCACAAACAAAAATGCTTATTTATTAATTACAAATATTTACAGCACAAATTTTGAATATTTGGCTACCTACCTGATGAATTTTCACATTATATCTGTTTGGTTAAAAATGTATGCTTTATTCTTATTTGTTATTAATTGTTAATTATTGTATAAATTGTTGTTAAATATTATTCATTGATGTTATTCTATTCTTTATTGTTAATTTATATAATTCATTGTTTTACATAATTAATTCTTTATTGTTTTATTTTAATCTGTATATATTTTAATTGATTCGGCAACAGTGTGTTGTCGACATATTGTTTGTTTACTCGTGAATCAGTCTAGTTTAAATCAGCCATAAAATTCATGTAGCTTATTCAAAGACCATTAAATTCAAAGGTTCCTTGATCAATTTGCGTGGAGTTTCCTTTACTCAATTCTACAGAAACAATTCAAATTATTCATCGCAGTACCTTAGCTCATAGAATTTGAGCTCGGTAGTTAACGCGAACACAATATCTTTTGATCCAACACAAAATAAGGTTAAATTATTGTAAATTATTCACCTTTTTTCTATTCAGTATAACAGCATTGTTTCAGATGCGATCACTGTCTCACTTACTAAGCTCGGAAAGCTTGCCACATCCTGGATATGTCTGGTCTTATCTAAATAGTTGTGGTAGAGCTTGACTGTATCTTCTTGCCAGACTTCTTCTGTCTCCAACCGAAGCCTATATGCTTCCTTAAAAGTGCCCACAACACACTGATGACACTAATAATTCACCAATACCTGATTGTTACTGACACACTTTTATTAAACTTACACATCCTTATATACAGAATTATATTTATTTTATTATTTTTATTTTTTTGCTTATCCCTAGTACACGTGGTACAGGCCATGATAATCATGGTGGGTAGTTAGCGACTGCTTTTACTGTAAGCGCACCACATGTCTACACATGTGAAAAGCAGTTCGACTGAATTATATTTATAAATATGTAAATATGCTGGCTGAACAAGCAAAAAAGAGAAATTTACATAACCGGCATCTCCAAGCATTATTTGAACATACATGTGTGTTATAAGAAATTTTAACTATTTTACACATGGGTGTGCACCATTGGTTTACAATAGTCACTTAGTGGACATAAAAGCGCTCAACACTAGTCCATACTAGTGAGCTGGACTCCCCGGGTAGTTGGCGTTCTGCGCTCCAGGAGAGAAAATATGGTTTTACGGGATACTAACCAAAGTGTATCATTTTTGAGCCTAAAAATAATGTAGCAAGCAGACAAGCCGCAATGCACTATATCAAAGTACCAAGGTGCTGCACGCAACCAAGGTTGTTCAAAAAGGTTAGATTCCCCAGGCTAGGGAAAATAAAAGAAAGACAGGTGTTGTTTAAATCAGAATATTAGATAAAGCGGGAATGATTCAACAAGTGATGGGAAAGATAGATTTTATTTTGGTAAAAATAATATAAAAAGTTTCAGATAAAAAAAATTGTTAATTGAAAAAAAAAACACTTTGGTAATATATATACAAATTTTGAAATTGAGGTCTTATATCAAGGATTACTAGAGAGGGTACCATTACTAAGACAACCAACCACAAAAGTACACCAGAGATTGCGCTCCAGGAACCTGAGTTATAAATATCTCTCGAGTAGGCAAAAACCAGATGTTCGAACCTCACATTGAGAGAAGCAAATTTTAAAACAAAAAGTTTACTCAACGGCTCGCTGATCTTACATAAGTACATCGTTATTGCTCTAGGACATGTGCAACAGCTTCCACATGTGTAGACATGCGTTATTCTTATAGCTTTTACCTATAACTGACAACCATCGACCAATACTTAAGACTTTCTATAGTATTATATACAAATTATAATGAAAGATAAAGAAAAGGAGAGAAAAAAAAAAGATTTAAAGGTCGGTGAAAGAGATTTTAGCCCGAAAGCTAGACAAGTGAAAATAGTGAAGAAACTTATAGGGGGTCGGTGGAAGGATGATCTAAACCGTTGGTTTTCGACCGCTACGACCCGGCTTCGATTCCCGCATTGGCCACTTTTTTTCTGATAAAAAAATGCTCCAATGGCTCCCGATTCTTGCAAAAGTCCAACCCTACCAACGAGTGCAAATAACCAAACGGGACTCTGGCACATTTGTAAGTGCAAAGTCGAACTGCTTTTCACATGTGTAGAAATGTAGTGCACTTACAGTAAAAGCAATCGCCAACTTCTACCCACCATGATTATCATGGCCTGTACCACGTGTACTAGGGATAAGCAAAAAACAAGTTACAAAGAATCTTTTAAATATTAAAATAATAATCAATTGAAGAGAACTTGTGTGCGTGATTTAACAAAACGTTAAGAAACCGTTTCATAAAGCTGGCTATCTATTGTTCAGTGTTGATGAAGAAACAATCTGAAGAACAGCGAATGTTATCTGCCATGATAGAACAAAGAAAGGGTTGTATTCAATCCGTATCTGGGAGGTGATAGCAAGGCCACTTATCTGTCCCACCAACAACAATCAACACCTCTCTCTTCACCAGTTCACTTTACATAGCTTCGATCCCCGCTGTTAGCCTCTGGGGCTCGGATTCTTTTAGGCTAGATTCGTTCTTGCACTCAAACCTATTAAATGGTCAGTCAAGTGCTTGTACATTAGTCTTCTTTTAGCCTGATTCGTTCTTGCACCCAACAGGATGGTCATTCTAGTGATTGTACATTGGTTTTCTTTTAGTCTGGATTCGTTATTGCACTCAAACCTATTAAATGGTCAGTCAAGTGCTTGTACATTGGTCTTCTTTTAGCCTGATTCGTTCTTGCACCCAACAGGATGGTTATTCTAGTGATTGTACATTGGTTTTCTTTTAGTCTGTATTCGTTATTGCACCCTACAGGATGGTCAGTCTAGTGCTTGTATAACAGTATCTTTTTAGTCTGTACTCGTTCTTGCACCCAACCATACAGGATGCTCAGTCTAGTGCTTGTACATTAGTCTTCTTGTAGTCTGGATTCGTTCTTGCACCCAACAGGATGGTCATTCTAGTGATTGTACATTGGTTTTCTTTTAGTCTGGATTTGTTATTGCACCCTACAGGATGGTCAGTCTAGTGCTTGTATAATAGTATCTTTTTAGTCTGTATTCGTTCTTGCACCCAACCATACAGGATGCTCAGTCTAGTGCTTGTACATTGGTCTTCTTGTAGTCTGGATTCGTTCTTGCACCCAACACTATAGGGTTTACTAACTCGATTCTTATTCATTTTAGTAAAATGGTTTGTAGAGAAATATGTTTTAGTATATATATTAAAGCACAACACGTAATGTATCGAGATCAAAATTGAACCGACGCAGCGTTCTGCGTGAACGGTAGGAGAAGTCGGAGAGCAAGAAAACGCCGTGGGAGATTCCCAGCGAGGTGTTGCCAAGACAGTATCTACAAGTGGATAAGCACGAGACGGTCTGGGGCAGTGGGACGACAAGGAAAAGTCTACTGTATCCCGGGATAGCAACTAGCAGCAATCATGGGATCATAGGAACGAGGTCCATAAGAGTTCTGTTCACACAAAGGCTGGACTATAGAGACACTTCGTGGAGGCGTTATGAGCTACAGTGACCCGACAGTGCGACGTCACAGATACCCGACAACGGAGTTTGGAGACATTACTGTGCTATAAAGTAAAAACTCTAGCTACATTCTATTTATTTGAACCATCCTTCTTGCTTCGAAGATCAACGACAACTGGCGTATCGTCGCAACAATATTGTCGAGGAGATAAATAAAGCAAGGGCAAATTTGGGAATAATTAATTTATTATAAAGGTGGGTATTTACCTTTTAGTTCTCCAATAAAATTATATATAAGAGGTATTTATAGGGAGAACGCTTCACGATTTTGCGTGTCATCCTTGCGCAGGAGCCATGCTAATCTTCTCTGTATCGTTCCAATTTTAGTATATGTACCGCCGAACAAGCGTATTTATAGGGAGAGAGATAATATAACAACTTATCCCAAGGTAATAATAATGAGAGTGGTCAGCCACCAAGGCGTCCCGTTTTCCTTATTTGCAGATAAGATTCCGAGAACCCCTCACACCTGTGGTTGTCCCCAGGAGTCCAGGGATGATTGACAGGTGTCCCATGGAGCTTCCTGTGACCGGAGTTGCAGAGCTACTTGACATTATTCTCATTTTCTTCCTATATATGGACATTTTGCCGGGAGGATAATGTAACATAGAAAATTAGGAAAAACAAACTTCAGGATGACACAGC